GGGTGGAAGAGATGGGTCGGCTAAACACATAGGTCCATCAGCATATGCGTTACCGGTATGTTCCCTTAAAGTGTACCTTTGAACTCCTCATACGTTCCCCAACTGAAGACTTCCAACAATTTCAACCAAGACTCCCCTTGCGTGCCTCTCAAGCTCTGTATCACAGGTAGTTGAAGAAGCTCGGTGAAGATGTAGGCCCCGGGAGCGGAGATTGCGTTTTTGATCAGTTCAGCAATAAAGCGTGGTGATGGAGTTTTTGTGGTAGTGGCGAGGTGAACAAAAGGCTGAATCGCAGCGAGAGCTTTTGTCTGTGACTGATCCATCTTACGCAGAGGTGGGAAGAGCGAAAGGACAGAGGGATTGATGCGAAGGTGGGAGAAGAGCGTGGGGATTGATACTCAGCCTGCGAACTGGAAGACGAGGCTGTCACTGCGGGCAGAGGACAGGGCTTGGCAACAAACGAGGCTGAGATTTGCACGTGGTCCAGGCTTATTTAATTACATGGTTTTGAGGCTGGTGGCTGGGTTGCGGGTGGTTGGTAGCAGTTTCAACTCTGCGACTTGATTTCATGTCGCACCAGCGATGATCATGACTTGTTAAATGCCATTTTGGTTAGATACGCCAATATTGCCAATTCTCTCGTGATCTGTACCGAGGCGAGGCTACCCTCCAGCCTGAAGATGCCCTGATGCGGCTAGAGGTGGCGTGATACTAAATCAGGGGTGTTTCTCTGACCCAATCCGTCGATGGTGTCACTTTTCGGTTTCAGGCCTCAATCTCGCTCTCCAGGCATTTCTCAGCTTCAAGTCCCCGTCTGACTTCTGACTTCACACGTTTCGGTCCGCTCGCGAACGCCTCAAGGCCGCTTACATATCATCTTCGCACTCCGTTCTCTCAATACACTCTTTTAAAGCCCTTTCTCGTTTTCTGCGCGATCTGCACCACCTCCGTTTTCGACTTCCTTTTTCCTGCTCCGAAGTCGGCCCCCGAACGCGTGCCCCTCGAACGATGCGTTTATGATTGTCTCTCTCTCTCAGCCCTGCTGTTAATCCCACGAACGTTCGCTACGATGAGTCTTGTCAGTGACAGCGGCCACGAGGCGCCGCAACATGCGCCGACCCCGGCGCATATGGCTACCACAACCCTCAAAGTCGATGGCATGACTTGTGGTGCATGCACCTCCGCAATAGAGTCAGGGTTCAAGGACGTTGAAGGTGCCGGTGCTGTATCGGTCAGCTTAATGATGGGAAGAGCCGTGGTACATCACGATCCGAAGAAGTTGTCTCCCGAGCAGATCGCAGAGATCATTGAGGATCGTGGGTTCGATGCCGAAGTTCTATCTACAGATATGCCCAAACCTCCCACTCTGTCGATTTCGACTGGAGTATCCAGCTCAGAGTCCCAGCTCACCACCACAACGATATCCATACAAGGAATGACTTGCGGGGCATGCACTTCCGCTGTTGAGGCCGGCTTCAAGAATGTGCCGGGCGTGAAAAGCATGAATGTTTCCCTTCTGGCGGAGCGCGCCATCGTCCAGCATGACGCAAATATCATCAATGCCGATGCACTGGCCGAGATTATTGAAGACCGAGGCTTTGATGCCACCGTGATTGACTCAAAAACTCAAGACACTCTTAGGCCTACAGCTGGGAATGCAGAGGCCAACGGCCAGTCGCAGACGTGGACTACCACCGTTGCTATTGAGGGCATGACTTGCGGTGCTTGCACCTCTTCCGTCGAAGGCGCTTTCAAAAACGTTCCTGGTCTGGTCAAGTTCAACATAAGCCTTCTCGCAGAACGAGCAGTCATTTCTCATGATCCCGTCACCCTTCCTTCCGAGAAGATCGTCGAACTCATTGAAGATGCCGGTTTCGATGCTAAGATTGTGTCCTCGCAAGCTGAGGCCAATCTACAGAGCTCAACCTACATTTCCCAGCAGCTCAAGATTTATGGTTTACCAGACGGACAAACTGCCACTGAGCTCGAAAACATCCTGAGATCAAAACCAGGAGTCAAAAGTGCGGTGATCAGTCTTTCCACGTCGCGCGCCACCATCACCTATGATCCTACCGTTGCCGGTCTTCGAATGATTGTCGCGGTCATTGAGGACGCTGGATTCAATGCCCTGGTTGCAGAAATGGAAGACAATAATGCTCAGCTGGAATCTCTCGCCAAAACAAAAGAAATCCAGGAATGGAAGAGAGCATTTCTTACATCCCTGAGCTGCGCCATTCCCGTGCTTTTGATCAGCATGATTATACCTATGTTCTTCCCATCGATCAATTTTGGAGGCATTGAGATTATTCCAGGCCTTCTTTTGGGTGACGTTATTTGCCTCGCCCTGACACTTCCTGTACAGTTTGGCATTGGAAAGCGTTTTTATGTTTCAGCGTTCAAAAGTTTGAAGCACAGGTCGCCAACCATGGATGTGCTGATTGTCTTGGGTACCTCGACGGCTTTTTTCTTCAGTTGTTTTGCCGTCATTGTGGCAGTCTTGATACCCCCTCACAATAAACCTAGCACTATCTTCGACACTAGCACCATGCTCATCACATTCATTACTCTCGGACGATGGCTCGAAAATCGAGCCAAGGGGCAGACCTCCAGAGCTCTATCACAGTTGATGTCTCTGGCTCCAAGCATGGCAACCATATATGAGGACCCTCTATACGCGGAGAAGCTTGCCGATGCCTGGACAGCTCCATCGTCTCCTGTGCTCGAGAAAACGCCAACCAACGATTTGAGGAGAGTTCCATCAGGTCCCGGCCCATCAGGCTCTTCTGGTCCCTCCGCGATAGAAAAGACCATCCCAACCGAACTGATCGAGGTCGGAGATGTTGTCATCCTTCGACCTGGGGACAAGATACCCGCTGATGGAGTCGTTACCCGTGGAGAGAGCTTTGTGGACGAAAGCATGGTCACTGGTGAACCTATGCCTATACAGAAGAAGAAGGGTAGCACACTCATTGCGGGTACCGTCAATGGCGCCGGCAAGATTGACTTCAAAGTCACACGTGCGGGAAAGGATACACAACTGAGCCAAATTGTCAATCTTGTCCAAGAGGCCCAGACGAGCCGGGCACCTATCCAGCGGATGGCCGACCTTGTTGCTGGTTACTTTGTGCCCGTCATCATTCTTCTCGGATTGATCACCTTTGTGGGCTGGATGATCTTGAGCCACGTCCTGCCCAACCCTCCCAAAATCTTTACAGATCAACAGAATGGCGGCAAGTTCATGGTCTGCCTGAAGCTTTGCATCTCAGTCATTGTCTTCGCTTGCCCTTGTGCCCTTGGATTAGCAACCCCAACGGCAGTCATGGTGGGAACTGGGACTGCTTCGCAACTGGGAATTTTGGTCAAAGGAGGTGCCGCTCTTGAAACGGCAACCCGCGTCACGCATATCATCCTGGACAAGACCGGTACTCTGACTTTTGGGAAGCTCAATGTTGCCGATAGCAGCTATGCAGCTGTCTGGAGCTCCAACGAATGGCGTCAGAAGCTGTGGTGGACACTCGTTGGTCTCGCCGAGACAGGGTCTGAACACCCCATTGCGAAATCCATTGTTCTAGCTGCCAGGGAGAAACTCGGCCTCGAAGCAGAGGAAGGATTCCCCGGCCAGGTTGGCACCTTTGGTGTCACCGTAGGTCAGGGAGTATCCGCCATCATCGAGCTCAACAATCCAGGGGACGAAACTAAATACAAAGTCTATGTCGGCAACTCTACGTTTTTGGCCAACAAGAAGATCGACATCCCGGCAGATGTTGAGAGCTCGATCAATGCAGCTCTGTCTCCCACAACCCGAAGGAAATCGAAGACCGGAATAACAACTATCTATGTCGCGATTAATGGGCAATATGCTGGGTATATCGGCCTCTCTGACACGCTTAAACCTACTGCCCCTGCTGCTATTACCGCCTTGCACAAGATGGGTATTTCTACCAGCCTCGTCACTGGAGACACATATAACACGGCACTTTCCATTGCTGAATTAGTGGGGATCCCTCGAGAATGCATTCGCGCATCTGTTTCTCCAGGTGAAAAGCAGTCCATCGTCTCAGACCTGCAGTCTCAAGGGGAAATTGTCGCTATGGTCGGGGATGGGATCAACGACTCTCCGGCTCTTGCAACCGCCAATGTCGGTATGGGTCTCGTTTCTGGGAGCGACATCGCAGTCGAGGCCGCAGACATTGTGATAATGCGCTCGGATGATCTTCTCAATATCCCGACTGCTCTTCATTTGTGCCGTGTCATTTTCCGACGGATCAAGATCAATCTGATCTGGGCCTGTGCGTACAACGTTATCGGACTACCATTCGCAATGGGTATTTTCTTACCGCTTGGCTACCATATGCCCCCTTTGATGAGCGCCACGGCGATGATGTTCAGCAGCATTTCTGTCACGCTGAGCTCGTTGGCGCTGCGGTGGGTCGGCAGGCCCAAGTGGCTGAGTGTCGAAGCTTTGAAGATGGAAGGTGACAGATACAGTGCGCCCGTGATCGGAGCAAAGAGGAGAAAGAAGCTGATGAATGACGGCGGCTGGATGGGCAGAGTCCAAGGCGTTGCCGAGTCCATGTTCGAGAGACTCGAGGGAGTGGCGACGCGGAGAAGAGCACAAGAGAGAGAACGGGGCAACTATGTCCCGTTGCAGACAGTCGAGGGAGATGCCGTGTAAAGTGAACAGTAGCGTGGGAGCGTTTCATATCGTCTTGTTTTGTTTTCCAAGGCCTTTGGATACAGGCCGTATGCAAATATACCTTGTTCACATATCCACCCGATATACGTATAATACAGCCATCCCGGACACCTGTCTCCAACCCACCTACCGCTCTTTTCCTATTTCCTAAATTCGCCGCTCTGCTCTCCCACCAACCATAATCTAGTGGCCCTGTCTCTCCCTCTCCCTCTCCCCCCCCTCCACTCTTCTATCGCCACATCAAGATTCAAGCGAACGTCCGTCCGTTTTTCTCTGCACCGATGATGCGTGCCCCCATGTCAACCTAACCCACCGCGAACTTACTCCTTGCCCTCAGCATACCACCGATCCTCCACAGCAAAAACATACCGACCACCCCAGCACACGCCAGCCCTGCAAGCAGACTAATACCGGGACCAATTCCCAGATTGACGAACATAGGTCGGGAGAAGATGACGGTGCCGGCGGCAAAGAGCGAGCGGAAGAGGTCGTTGGAGGCAAGCAGCGAGGCGGTGTAGCGCGGGTATGATAACGGGAGATATACGAAGATGCACTGGAAGATGACAAAGTTGGAGCAAACCACGATTATCACGCCGATGGTGCTGACTATCCAGTGCACGCCGTGGCGAGATGTCCAACCTGTATAATTTCATAACGAGAAGATTTTGTCAGCAGAACCGTTCAGTCTTTTCTCCTTTCGTTCGTTCCGCGGGCCCCTTCATGCAGCACCTGCGCCTTTCATACTCTGGGCGTAGATGCGAGTGGATTGATCGACTCACCAAACATGAACAATCCCGCGGGCAACGTGCAGACGCCAAACAATGCAGGTACTAGCCGATGCTCCGGTGCCCGCAGGCCGTTTTTGATGATGTCAGGCACTAGGTAGAGGAGCAGGTATGTGTTGTAGACAACGACCGCAATCGTACACCCCACTCCGATGGTCACAAAAGTCAAGCCCAGTTCGCCGAGATTGAAACCGTAGATCCCCACATAGACTAGCGGGAAGGCCTCGAAAAAGGAATAGTAGATGCCATAGAGAAGAGCGCTCTGGGAAATTGGCACGATGGCGGAGTCAGAAAGAAGTAGACAGGCGGGAGTCGTAGCCACTTGTTCTGGGGGTTATTTCTGGGGGGCAAGGGGAGCTCACATAGAGGTTAGTGTACGCGACAGCAGGATCCTTCATCATGATCTCGAGCGGCTTAATGATGGCGTCAAAGAAGACTTCCGAGTACTTCATATGTTCCTGGTCGATCTCGCTCTGGGACCGTAGATCTGTCCTGCCCGTAAGTTTCCGAAGTCGCGCAGCTCGTCGTCGAAGAATTGTAGCGCCAGAGGTTTCAGGGAAAGCAATCAGGTAGACGACCAGGATTGGTGCGCTAAGCCAGAGTAGCTCCCATAACGACCACCTCCATCTGCACTTTTATTAGCTGAGGGCGTTCTATGAGACGGAGGAGGGGAAATTACCCTTTAGCACTGACGGCATACGACGCCATGACCGGTCCAAGAGCAGGGCCCCAAAAGCAAGCACCCGTCCAAGAGGAGAGATAGACGGGGAGCAACAGGAGGGAGAACTACGGTAATTAGGGTGCTTCCCTTGGGTCTGAGTCTCCGGGGAAACTTACCATATCACTGACTGAGGCAGCTCCATTGGCAAGGCAAGGGCTAGATAGAAAGCCTTGTAGAAATCGAAGAACCAAGAGACCAGCGTAATTGTCTACCACCGCTGTCGGGATACAGATGATGGTAAATAAGATAAAGGCAGGCGTGTAAACTCCGTTGCGGCCAATGGCAGGAATCTCACAAAGGGGGGCGAACAGCAGGGGGCCAACTCCATCTGGAATGAACTTGGTCAGGATCGGCTTCGCAGAGAAGAAGGAGATCCAACGTACATCCAATCACATATATAGCAAGGCCCATTGCTGCTGCTGCTTCACCAACGCCGAATCTATGCATGACCCCACTAGAAGTTCGTCAGTATAAGGATTCGGAATAGTAGGGGAGAAACTCGCCTTTCGCTGACGACGTAGATACTGGAACCTCCATACATGGCGAAGGTGTATAAGCTGCAAACTTCACGTGAGTTTCTCGGCCTCAATCGTTACGCGGCCAGGATCATAGAGAGAACATACCATATCTGAACCAATATAAAGAGCTTCTTTGCCTGCGACCAGTTCTGCGGATTCTCTGGGTCATCAGTCGTATACCAGTCAACGAGAATGGTGCCATCAGCCGATTTGTAGAGTGATATTGGCTTGCTGTTGGTTTTTTCCAGCTCCAGTTGCTGATCCAAGGCGTAACGTTCTTCTGTGAACGACAGACTCCGTTGTCTTGCGAGGCTAGGCTCTAAATTTTCATCGTTTGACCTTCTTGTTGGGCGTGTCGACGGTCCGCTACTCCCCCCAGCCTTTTCAAGGTCCGCCAACTCAGAATCCGGTCTCGAGTCCTCTGCTTTTTCCGAACTCTGTGTTTCAGGGCTCTCCTTTTGTGCCTCGACTGGGTCGGATACAGAATTGTCGGGGTTCGTAACGTCCTCGACAGAAGTACCAGATGCCTGGAACACATGTCATTCCCTGAAACTCTCTCGGAGACTGTAGGCAGCTCACCAGCTTTGGTAACACGAATCCTTCTCGCTCATCAGGATACAAGAGGATTCTATTCTGGGTTATCCATCGGAGGAATTGGCCCAGAGGTGCATCTCGGATTGTATCGAGCATGACGTGTTATACGTCTTGGAGGTGTGCCTGGAAAATAGAGCAGCAAGTGCCTGCCGGAAACATCTAACGACACTTGAACCGACAGAAGAAGAACAGCATCCCTTATAAATCATGGCAAATGTCATAGCATCAGAAGCATAGCGGATCTGGCAACAGAAATGCCGCTTCAGACGGGATTCCTCATGGATGCCACTCATGTAAGCAGAGTATATCGGGGTAGAGGTCAAGTCATCGCCCGGAAAGATCGCCCTCTAGTGTGGTCCCTTCGGAGCCACGCGCTTGCATGTGAACATGTGCCTGAAGCGTACGAGGCCACGGCTGACCGCTGTGGTTGGTGGATTGCACTCAACTTCAGCCGATATTCGAAAGATTCAGGAACCGCCCTGAGGTTGGGTCAGAGAGTCAGCAGCGGCCGATGGGGAGCTTCTGCCTGATAAGGGCGTGGCGAGGCATTACAAGCTCCGAGGAGGTACATGGCTGAGGTCTGGAAGTTGACATGGCTATGTTATGTCCACGACTCAATGCGGATATTGACTTGGTTTTGGCTACGAGTCTGACCACGAGCCTAGCAGGTAAGGCTGACCTTTGGCCCAGCCGGGAAGTGGTCCCAGAATGAGAGTGAGGGTGGATATGTGGTGACTCAGAGCGGCGTTATAAAGGATCCATTGGTGTCAGCAACGGAGTTGCATGTGGCTGGAATGAAGCCGATGTTGTCCTGAAGACGTCAATGATATATGGAGGACCAAGAGTGCCAAGGTGCCAAGGTGCCCAGGCACCAGGGTACTTCCTTCAACTCCTTGTGCCCACAATTCAATACACATAATCATTCCCTCTGGTGCCTCTGCGGCCGTGGCGTCCGCACCGCAGCCTTGTCGTGACCCGCACTGCTTGCTTCTCGGCTCTATCCAACCCGCCCTCTGGTGAGCCGAGCTCGCTTATTACCACTAGCAGGCGAGCGATACATCCATGCAGCCGAGGTCACACAGAACCTCTTTCCTCCCTACCACTGCTCCTACTGCTGCTTTGAATATCCCGACAGTCCTATATGAAAAGAGACAACAAAGAGATGGAAAACATTGAAACAAAGTCTCAGGCTGGGCTCGGCTGGAGTGATGAAACGCATGACCAGTGTCTGCTTTAAACCTTACCTCTCTAGGATTGAATAGACCTGTTGCGCTTGTACTGGCAGTCCATGAGGTTCTACCTTCGGTGCGCCTCTCTTCAACAACGGCTCCGCATAGTGAGCGACAAATCAACCGGTACGCAGGCCACAATGGAGGAGAAGAACGTTCTCTGCTTGGTTGTCATGGCTTATAAAATCATCGGTAACGTATACGGTGTGTCCAAGAGACAGACTGAAACGGGTCAGAGCAACCTTCTGACGCGAGAATTTGACAAAATTGCCGTAAATATAGATGCATTTGCCCGTTCATGGACGGTGGGAGGTGAGTATCATGTACTGTGCAATCATTCGGAGACGTTGCGGTCAGCCGTGGAACACATGTGGAGGCAATGGCAGATAGAAGGCTGCAACTTTCTTTGAACAACTGTTGTCCAGAAAGCAAACCGCTTTGGTACTTCTCGTTGGCTTACTAGATCTCAAATCCGAGTTGCCACACAAATCTACTCAACCTCGACATATCTCCTCGGCTATATAGGGTTGGTTCGACATGGCTCTCGACCGTGGAAAGATCTTATCAGAACGCAGTGAGAGCATGTCGAAATTGACGCGACTCGCCAATGAAAACCTGCAAGACAATCATGCGATTGCTACGTTCTCGAGTCGGCACCGTGTGGATTCTTCGTCGACGAATTCCTTGTCATCATCCGTGCTGTGTTGTGCTGTATCTTGGATCGATTTGCAGCTTTACTCGCGATACACGATTGTGGGACAAGATTGGGCTGATGAAAGAAGAACTCAAGACGGATTGATCCACAGGCCTGTGGACATGGACCACCCGCACGACGCCGTGGCCAAAGAGGCACGTCGTAGGAGCCGGATTTGAGATTTCTGTGTCCAGAGCCTACGTGTCGTCGAAGCAAGCAGTCCTGCCTGTGTACTCACAATCTCTAGAAAACCTATGGCTTCTATCTACGCGTTGGAGAAAACATCCTAATGTCGTTATTGTCATGTTCGATATGGAAGTGCAGAACCGGAAGGCGAGGGAAGGAGAATATCCTAGCCAAATGGATCGATCATTATATATTGGTAAATGCGCTGGTCATTACGGCGGAGAATTCGGCCGTCATTGGGATTTTTGGATATCATTCTGCCCCAAACACTACGATGTGTTGCCTTTCATTCCAAATTTTTCCCTTCCTTTCCCTTCCATTTTTGTTCTCATCCCTTCCCACCCGCCAAACTAACCCAGAAAACAACGTTCTTTGATTGTCAATTTAGTCACTTCGATCGTGTTTGGACCTTCAGGTTTCATTTCTCATACTGCTCCAGGGCCGTCAACCCGCCCTCCAAGAGGTGGACGACGTTATTGTCCTCCAAAATCTTGAGGAACTCTGCCCTCCCGCCGCCGTGGCCGTCCGTGCCGTACGCCGCGCCAAACTGGCCGACAAAATTGTCCACGGTGGACTGGGGTTTGGTGCGGCAGAGCCCGCAAAGGGTGGCGCGCAGCTCCTCCTTGAAGCCGAGGCGGGGCCACACCCCGAGAATCTCTTTGTACTCGTCGACGGTGATTATGGGCCCGCCGGGCACGGGGACGGGGAGGTTGGGCCCCAAGAAGTCGGCGGTGATGGCCGTCTGGGTGGCCAGGACCTCGGGTTCCTTGTATTGCGCGACGCTCGGGGTCGTGTGCAGTGCGATGGCGTCCCAGATCAGTTGCAGGCGGTGCTTGTCCCATTTCTCGCCCGGCCCAACGCCATCGGCGGCGGCGGTCTCGGTGCGGAGGAAGTTGCGGGCAATCTCTGCGCCGTCGACCTCGAACCGTTTGTCGTTGGATGTCAGGGACTGGGTCGTCGCCCAGCCCAAGTCGTGCAGCATGATGGAGAGCATGATGGCTTCCCTGTCAATGTCCGGGTTGGCTGTCAAGGGCGGAAGCTTGCGGAGCAGGATGAGAGCAAAGGCGACGCTGCGGGCGCAGTGGTTGAGTGTCGCTTTGGTACAGTTCTCTTGGACGTAGGTGTACGCGGCGTTGAACAAGTCGTCGGTGGGCATGGTGATTTGGGAGATGGGGAATTCTGGGAAGGATATGGGCTTGGAGGAAGACATTTTTGTCGGTCGATTGATTTCAGTCCTGCGTGGTGCTCTGGTGCGCTTTGCTGATAAACAGCTCAAGGGAAGTAGACCTGGACATTGCCTTCTTTATACCTTTTACTCTGAACCTACCTCCCTACCTACCTATGCTGCCCAAACTTTCAAGGCGCACCATGAAGGCGCAAGAATACTTACAATTGAAGCTGAAAAGTTCGCTCAAGAGAGCAAAGCAAACTCTGTGGTCACAAACAAGGCTGACCCCCTTGCCCTGCTAGCCGGCTAGGGCCTGCGGCGATCGACAACAAATAAGCGTAGGACTTAGTCTCGATTCCTCCGGATGGTTTTTCAGGGGGGGTATTATGGGGGGTGGCCGAATTAACACGGCTTGCTCAAGACATCATTGGCGCATCTGGACAGATGGGCGGTGGAATGTCGTCCCGGTCCCCCCAACGGGGCACGCGGGGGGTGTGCTAGTTAGGCTCTGATTAACCGGAAGAGGGTATCGTTCCTGATTAGGATGGTGCCAGGGAGCTTATACTTGTAGTCCGCAGTCCAGCTAGCCAGCAGCCCGCCGCCACACGGGGGGCCAAAAGAGACTACTGCCTTTTTTGGTGTGTCGCGGGATAGGAATATGGTACTCGGTATCCCTATCACAATGAAGAGGGATGTGTAGCATGAGATCCTAGACCGAGTACGAGGTATACGCATCATCATCATCATCGAAACGGGCGGTATTGTTTCCGCAGTTTGCCTGCACCCTGCGGGCTTGCGGGATGAGGGCCTATGGAGGGGTTATAATCCGGCATCAGGCCCTCAGTCGTTTACCAGGTTAGATACTTTAGGTAGCCGTGCAAAGCTTTACTGACAGCAGCACGTTACACAAAAGCTGGCCCTCCGATGCTATTCGACCCAAGTCTCCTAATAGGCCACCTTTCATCCGGAATCCAGAGGCACCCATTTATTTTCCCTTTGCAGTCTCGTGCCCAAGAAGAGGCGCCGCGGGTAGAATGGAAAAAAAGGGGGTGCAGCCTTGTGGAAGGGCAAGGCCGCTTTATCTGAGATGGGTGCGCGTGAGAACAGGTCAATCCGACCGAGAGGCTCTAAAAGAGGAGGGATTTGAAAGATGATGTATGGTTGGGGTGGAAAAGCCGTCGTGATGATGATTTCTACCGAAATGCAGATATGAGTCGCGGGTTACTCAGGCCATTTCTGGCCAGGGCAACCTGGCCCTCATACTATGTTTTTTGTCTTTTCCTTTTTCCCAAGGTTTTTTTCTTGTCTTTTGCTTTTTCTTCATTTTTTTCTTCCCACATTGTCTTTGTTTTTTTATCTTCTCGTTTCCTCTCTCCGTTTTTTGTACTTTTCTTTTCCTTTCAGAAATAGTTCCCATACCAGTTTACTCATGAACACTCCAGGTGAGTAGGCATGATCGTAGCCCGACTTCTCGATGCGACCTCTGCCAAATCAAGGCATATCGCTATCAACAGCCATGACGAAGCCCTTATTGAAATCAACAGTATGTTCCTCCGACTGGGAGCGGAAAGCCATCTCGAACCAGTCTTTCATCTCTTCTGTAAACAGAATCATGACACTGCCGTTGGATTCAGACGACCCTTTGGTGACTGGAGTTTCGTCAGAGGCGTCGCGAGCCATGATAAAGTGCACGGACTTATCGAGACCAGAGACATAGACGCGACTCTCCTTCCCATTAACATCACACTTCTTTGATTACTCTGGAGGAAGTCAAAGGAGACGGATGATTTTCATTCGGTGTTTTGGTCTCTACACATACTGCTGCCAGACCAGGCTGCATGAGAGCTTCGAGTCCCTGTTGAAGAAGGTCAGTACCAAGGTGTTGGTGCAGCAAAACTGTCTTTACCTTTGACTGTCAGTGCTCTCACGGTGTTCCATGGCTCGATATATATGATTAACCATCAGTTGATCAGACTGTCTCTAGTGGGCAATACTTAGTCTCCACAGACACATGGCTCCGTGCAGCAGCATAGATCAGTGCATTCTCGACATTCCCCCTGTCCCAAGGCCGGCTACTGACTTGAAGCAAACACGCAATGCAGATCTAGAGAGGCTTGACAGGCGTATATGATCTATACACATTAGATTTAGGGCTTTGTTTTCTCAGTCCAATAGAGAAATTAGGAACATTTTTTCAGAAGACATTGCGGACGAAAAGCAAAAACTCTGCCACATCCTCCAGTTGAACAGGAGGATGTGGTGAGCTAAAACCCGGGTTCGCAGGGTTTTTTTATTCGGTTCGGCGGAGGAGGGAGGAGGAGGAGGACGAGGTAGGGAGGTCAGTGATACTAACTGTATACCCCTTGTATCTGTATTTATATCGCTCGGAGGGAGGATCGGTTGTTGACAATTCGTCATCAGAACGCCTGCAAGCCGAATGCTAGTTTGACCAGTTCTGGCGAGGAATTGTGGAAGGATTTCTGTGGTGTTAATATTTATCTATTAATAAAAAGTGGGGCTGATCAGGTCTGGAGGTTGACATATCTTGTCTCTTTTTCGGGCGCTACAATCTTTCTTTATGCTGCACACACTCGTACATGGCTCGATGGATGGCATGTTGTTTGAATAGGTCGGTAGGTGGATTATCTAGTCATTCGCTAGTCCTATACGCCATGCGCTATTCGCGGATGCGCTGTCCGGCCCGCCTTGGGGCACTTGTACAAATGAAGTATGAGGATGACGACATTAAGATCGAGCACTGGTCGCCTCACGCTCCGCTATACACGCAAGACGCCATTCTGCTACATCCTTACATGTGCAATCCAACTCAGTCCATTCCGTCCGAGTGAGAAGAGACATCATCATTTCTGTGCTCTCTCTTGATCCATTGAATCAAATAACCAACCTCTCAATTTCATCGAATTTCTGCGGTGGTCAAAATGCGACAACATTCGTCCCCACATTTCCTTGCGCTCTCCATCAGTCTCAGTCTGAGTCTCTGTCTAGTGACAACGCTTCTGCCTGCGTCGCTGGCGGAAGACCAGGTCCCCATCCACCAACACCCTCTATCAAAAACTCCGATCAAAGAGATCCCGCATGTTGGCTTGGGGTTATGGAATTCCAAGGACGAAGATGTCCGTTTCTCCCCCGTTATCACCACCGTCGTGTTGTTATTTTTGTATTGAAATTCCCCCACCATCGTAGAAACCCTGGGGGGTTTTTTTAACGTGTCTGAGAAGGGAACACTTATCAAAATGCTGACATTGATATTCCCGTGGGAAATCTTTTACTGCAGGCTTCAAACGCTGTCGAATATGCTTTCGAGGCGGGATACAAACACCTCGATTCGGCTGCTGCTTATGGTAAGTCGGAACGCCTAACAACCCCAGGGAGATTTATTCGAGTCTTACAAAGATCCCATTCCTCCTCACTTGGGAAGGGATTAGTCAGAGTTTGATCTTGACAAAGGTCAAAACGAGGCTGACAACTCTCGATAGACAATGAAGACTTTGTCGGACGCACACTCAGCAACTCGTCCGCAGCCCCCTCGCGCCACAAGTACTGGATCACATCCAAACTGTGGAACACGGCGCACCAGCCCAAGAACGTGCGGCCGGCGCTGGAGAAGACGCTCCGCGACCTGCACGTCCCCTACCTGGATCTGTACCTGATGCACTGGCCCGTGGCGTTCTTGCCGGGCCAAAAACCCGGCCGCACCGTCATCGACCAGGACACGAGCATCCACGACACATGGGCCGCCATGGAGGAGCTGGTGGCGGCCAACCTGACCCGGCACATCGGGGTGTCCAACTTCTCGCCGCGCCAGCTGGACAGCCTGCTGGCCAAGTGCAAGATCCGGCCGCTGGCCCACGAGTTTGAGACCCACCCATACCTGCAGCAGCAGGAGTTTGTCGACTGGCACCTCAAGAACAACATCACCGTCATCGCCTACTCGCCCCTCGCAAACATGAACCCTACCTACGACGGCAAGTACTCGGACCTACCCCCCATCCTCGAGGACCCCTTCTGGACCGACCTCGCCGCCACAAAGAACGTCACCACCGCGCAGGCTATCCTCGCCTGGGGCAGGCAGCGCGGAACCATTGTCATACCCAAAAGTGTGCATCGAGATCGGATCGAGGAGAATCTGAGGTCGCTCAAGGTGTCTTTCACGGACAAGGAGATGCTGAAGATCGTAGAGCAGGACAAGAGGTCAAGGTTCAACAACCCAAGCAAGAGTTGGGGTGTCGAACTTTTTGAGGGATTGGATGATGGCAGTAGCCGCTTCATGGTCGACGAGAAACTCTGACTACGGCATGCTGACAGAAAAGTGCTTTGGAACAGCGGCATCGGAGCACAATGTAACCTGGAATTGCCGGAAAAACATATAGGGAAGATCTGGGCACAATGAGGAAACATCAAAGGATGCAATGTTGTATATTTTACGCCTGTGTGGATACAAAACTTCAAGGGCATGACTTCAAAGACCAGCACCAGGACGTCCTTCGCTTGTTCGAGCACACCCTTTGTTGACCTGTAGGATATACCCCTAAACCGCGCTCAATCACCACCACCTTAAAATGAAACAACGTCGCACCAACGCCCAACGCTTATGAACCAATGCAAGGGGTATGCGCGTAGCCATCATGTCCAGTCATGGCGAACTCCATAGCAATGGCCAAGATCGTGCTCGTGCACATTAACTCCATGTCTAGTCATCAAGATCCTGGTGACGAGCCAAGACCTTTCGCTGGAATTCCTCAGGGTCACTCTGGTGAAGTTGGGCGGCTTCGCTGTTCAGCGGACTGGAACTGCACTCGAGTATCAGTATCGCAGTTTATTTTTCAAACACAAGCAAAACCATACTTGTTGGGCTCTCCCAGTAAACTCTGTAGACTTAACAGCACGGTTTGGACATTGTAAACAGCACTCCACTTGTCCTTTAAAATGTCGAGGCATATCCTTCCGCTGAAGTCGATGTTGGGATGGTAGACCGGTGTCTTGAAGATGACGGTGGGGGCACGGTAAGGATAGTTGTTGGGGAATTCGAAGCTGAGTTTGAAGGTGAGGTCTGCATAGGCTGTATCTCTGGGCCCGATCAGAGTGGCGGTCCAGTGCAACATGTTGCCGTCGGTGTCAGGGAAGGCAGAGATGCCCGGCGTGGGAGACATCATGAGGCTCATAAGTTCGGATTGAAGTCTGCTTGATAAGCCCCGTGCTTTGAACGCAGTGAGGGAAGAGAGTGGTCCTACCGTTTGGTGACACTCTGGGTGTCTGCTTTCCTGGGCAAGGCACTGAGTTTCTGTTGCTCAGCCATGTTAGGGTATCCTGGAGCAGCGTTCTGTGAGTCCTCAAGCGAGAAATCCATGTTGGAGCTGTATTTAAGCTGCGGGCTGCAAGCGGCCAGAATGCGAGTAAAGGAATGCTGAAAACGGAAGAATGGTCTGGACAACTACAGTTTTGACAGCAGTGGTTGTAGACCCGCAATACGGAGAGTAATGACTGGAACTGAGGATAAGTAAAAGATGAAAAAGATGTCAAGATGATCAGGGAAAGCGAAGGGTGAAGTTGTTGAGTTGAGTCGTGCTTGTGCTGGCAAGATCGACTGCGCCCAAGAAAGTTACAAATGGTAGGGAAGATTGTTTACCCTCAGTGGTCGACTTTTTGGTCGCTGTAGTAACAGCACTGTGAAGCAGCCCCCCAAATGACGTCGACTGCGCGTGGGGCGTAACCCGGGGCTTCGGTCAACCACTTCATTACTGTTGTCGCGCCTCAGTCTGTAACCCGACGCGTTGCTCCGCGTGGTAAACCATTTGGAGGCGTACCGCTATCATGGAATTACCGTCGATTAATGCATAGCCTTGAACATTGTCCTGCTCGACCTGAACATCGTCGCCAACCTCCGTCATGAACGGGATCCCTCACTCTCAGCTGGCACCTCTGCCGACCCAACTGCCTTTCCGAATTGTCTCTCCCACCATCGGCTCTGGCGCATACGCATGGTATTTGACTTCCTGCCCTCAGTGTTGCAGTGCATTAGGGAAATTTGCTGATGATTCCATACAGCATCAAGAAAGCCGCTCCTCTCAGCTCCGATAATCCCGTCTTTGCAGTCAAATTCATCAATAAACTATTTGCACAGAAATATGGCCGCATCAAGCAAAAACAATTGGAGATGGAGATATCCCTACACAAGCACATCGGCCTCCACAAGAACATCATTGAGTTTTACCACCACGGTGATGACCCTGCTTGGTTTTGGATAGCAATGGAATTGGCCGAGGGCGGTGACCTTTTTGACAAGATTGAAGCCGATGCTGGTGTTGCAGAAGACATTGCACACGTCTATTTCACCCAGCTTGTCAGTGCAATCGGCTACATGCATTCTAAAGGCGTGGCTCATCGAGATATCAAACCCGAAAATGTTCTTCTGTCTGCGGATGGAGACCTCAAGATTGCAGACTTTGGAATGGCCACGTTATTCGAATACCACGGGCGGACGAAACTCGCAACTACGCTGTGCGGGAGTCCACCCTACGTTGCCCCAGAAGTCCTGTCGTGTAGTACGCAAGGCGGAACGAAGGGAAGTGGTTACGCAGCCAACGTGGCGGATATCTGGTCTTGTGGAGTGGTCCTGTTTGTTTTGCTTGCAGGAAATACGCCTTGGAGCAGACCAATCGAGGGTCGTGATGAGTATGGGAGGCCGAATGAGTTTAGCGAGTATGTCCAGAGTAACGGCAAGCCGTCCGACGAGTTGTGGGACTCCCTCCCCTCCGAGGTCCTGTCCCTTCTTCGAGGTATGATGAGAGTCGACGTCAAAACGCGCTTCTCGCTTGAGGACGTGCGCCGGCATCCCTGGTTTACAAGACCAAACAGATTTATGGACCAAAAGGGCCGATTGAAGGACCCGATCACAATGGCCACAAATATGTTTGAAGCGCTCCATGTTAGTTTCGATGCAGATCCCTTTGCAGGTACGCAAAGGAGTCGACATCAAGACGCGATGGAAATCGATGGGGCTTTCAGGACCAAATTCGCATCAACCCAACCAGAAACACCTGGCGAAGATATGCTATTTGACTGGGGTCGACCTAAGCAACTTGCTATATCAAGCACGCAAGTAGGAGCAGGTCTCACGTCGGCAACACAGTCGATGACCACAGCACAATATCTCGAAGACGAGCCATCGATGTCACAGTTTCAGTCTAACCCCAGCGTTCCTCTGAGCCGGACACAGATGGCTCGGCGGTTTCATGACATTTTACCCTCTTCGGGGTTGACGAAGTTCTATTCTGGGTGGACGTTGAATCTCCTTGTCCCCAATATCCTAGAGGCTTTGAGCCGGCTTGGGGTGCCGAATCCCAATATTCCTCGACCTACGGCTGAAGACTATGAGTGTCTGGTCAAGGTGAAAACGCAGGATAGCCGTGGCTGTCCCTTAAGTGGCAACATTGCAATGGAAGTGGTCAGCGAAGGCCTGATAGAGGTGTGTTTCGTCAAGGCATCGGGTGACCCGTTGGAGTGGCGAAGGTTTTTCAAGCGCATGGCTGTGCTATGTCAGGACGCGATCGTTAAACCAGAGTTTTGAGAAGATCCTGCGGTGTGGAACATCACGCAGTGTTCCGTGGGATCCCCAAAAAGCAATGATACCCAGACTTTTTGTATAGAAAACGTGTTGATAAGGTAGACCGTGCCCTCCCTACTTTATCTCACACAAAACATATTATATTTGCGTCGCGTCTCCCTGAATGTTCTGATCGTTCTAACCTCAAGACTGATATATTGGTTGGCACCAGGGAAAGCGACTGTGGAAGGAACCTCGGGCGTTTTAGTATTTCAGTATTTGCGCCGTCTTCAGAAATATTCTTCGTGGCTCGCAATGACTCTCTAAGAAAGTCCTGAGCTAATATCCTTTGATGAAAGGACTGAATACTGCAGATTCTTCCGAGTCACGCGTTCTCTATAAGAAATACATCTCAGCATGATTGCGTATGTAGGGTGCGACATCGGACATGTATTCGCAGCGAACCCATGGCGTAGCAGGAAAAGTGAGGTGGTGCGGATTGAGCCTCGGCGTTGGAAACGAAAGCTGGTGGCAGGGGCTTTCACATGTTTTCCTAAGCGCAAGATGACTTCATCTTCGGTTTCCGTCCTCGCGGCTCATCTGCACAATGGCCATGTGATCATTCCCGACTGCAACTCTTGCTCCCATCTCCATAAATATCGAGTTCGTCACGCTCGAATACCTCTTGAGCCGACCCGTTTCGTCTTGTGCTTTCTCCCTACCCGGCGTTTTCACCATCACTGAGTTTTCCGTGTCTCCCAGTCCTCTCCTTCTAATCCCGGAGTCTGCTACAGAATGTCTCTCAAGGACGGTAAGCAGCCCTTCACACTTTGTACCCAAGACGTGACAGAACTAACTGCAGCCTTCAGACGCCTTTCCTTCCTCCGTGGCCTTTGATGCCATCAATGAGTCCCTCGCCTCCAACGATGCCGAGCGGAAGAGTGCCATCAAGCAAGGAGGCGCCGTTTTCGCCTTCAAGCTGACCAACAGCAGCGGCAAGGAAGAGGCGTGGTATATCGATCTCAAAGAGACTGGAAAGGTTGGCAAGGGCGAGGCCCCCGCGGGCAAGAAGGCTGATGGTAAGTTTTCACCCGGCCACCAGTGGAGAAGAGAAGACAGGAAAGACTAAACGAGGTTAACAGTGACACTTCACCTCTCCGACGAGAACTTTGGCAAATTACTCGTCGGCAAGACGAAAGCCCAGGCGCTATTTATGGGTGGAAAATTGAAGATCAAGGGAAATATCATGAAAGGTACGTCTGTCAACGTTGGGCGGCGAGAGGATGGAGAGCTAACGAGCATGAACAGCAACAAAGATGGAACCCATTCTCTCAAAAGCTGGCGGTGCTGCCAAAGCCAAACTATAGATGTGACAATATCAAAATCAGATTCTGAAACATGTCAACGGAACCTCGAAAGAGCAGAACTATATCGTTACAATGCCGCAGCTTCCCATCGCGCCTGGTGCATTTGACCGAGGGCGCAATGGTAGGTGAGGCATCGGATCAAACAACATATACGTTGCCTGAGTTCTGCAGACAGTCCATTCCGCTACTTCGTGGATTGCCCTTGGTGCCTTTAACCTGCTTGCAATTCACCCTTCTGCTCACCTTGAGCACCTCGACTATGCTACCTTCCAATGGGCTGTCTGCCCCTTTCTCCAGCAGCCTCGAGGCACATCCACACTACCCTGCGTGAATCCTCCATTCTTCCCCCGTTTTGTGCCCAGATGTGTCTGAGATTCGTCCTTGTGGTTTTTGTCTGTCTTGTTACCACCCCTCTGTTTTTGTGTCCCGTGTTCTTTGGCCACCATCTGAGCTCGAGAGAAGGGATTAGTTCACGTCACGAAGTCGAGGAAGGGCATTGGTGCACACTTGGCGAGTAGACCACTGCTAGACACCCTACTGTCCTCATAGGGGAGTTTTCGGGCTGGTGCATTTACAATTTGCAAAGGTATTAATGTTGTTTGTCTATTAGCCTTCTTGTCAGGTCGACGGAACTCGAGAGCAACCAGCGGAGTGGATTTGGTGAACAACATCCAGACTTTCGTATGTCACTGGACATGAGCGCAGCCAGCACCCACAGCATCGCGCTCAGGGATTTTATCGCGGCTTCCATATCTATAAACCCAGGCGTTATCGACCTAGACTCTTGACTGTCCAGTGAATCTCGCAATGATATTCGCTGAGCCCGATGGCGCATGCCGTGACCAACCTTTGGCCGTTGTATCTGTTGTTTTCGTCTGGGGCCGAATATTCCGAGGTTGAATTCTTGGGCATTTTGGTTTGCATGTGAGATCCCAGCCAGCCAGCCAGCCAGACCAGCGCCAACCTCGTCAACCACACTTTCCCTTTACTCCTTTCGTGCTGTGCACCGAGCCCAGTACACTTCATGATGTTCTGCGTCTTGTCGTATTTAAACACGAACCTCCCTCGCCTTTACGGCCGACATGCTCGTCCCATCTCACAGAGATATTATCGTTATATCACTCCTCCGCATTGTTCTGCGGTGTGCCCTATAGCTCTCCCTGTCTCAATGTTAATGCCGTGGACTATCTAGCAGTCCTTTATCATGCTCAGTATTTGTGACACAGGTCCCAGGGCGAGAGCTGTTCCTACGAGCCTCATCTCTCTCTCTAATCAATTGCACCAGGAGACACTACCCGGGCTGCCCACAGCCCACGCATCCGGTCTTTCCAAGGGAGCAGCTCTTTTCTCGACAGCACATTGAGTCGGTCACCTTCGGATCCTTTGGGACTCGAAGCGAGTTCACTTTCCCAAGATTGTACATCAAAAGCCCCGTGCCGGATCATGCCTATACGGACATCTACGTACCACATTTGCCCCCACAAACACAACGATCACCTACACTCACCACATCTGCACAAGGGGCTCTTGGCCGCTTGATGCCGACCAGGATACCTTTGATGATACACATACCGCTTTGAAGATAGCCTCAAGATACCGACACTAAACCCCTCTGCCAACCACATGCGCGACAAGCGTTGCTGGAGGATGGAGAGGGGTGAATTTTCCCACCCAGGCAACGATTGATACACGTTGCGACCAAATCTCTGATGGTCTGGGAGTTTTGGGAAGTTGCAACACAAAACTGGACGGCCCCTCTCCAAAGAGCCGAAAAATTTCCTGATAACGAAGTCGCCATCGCCAGATGACAACATTGCACGAGCCGAACCACGTCCCCAGACCCGGGCGAATGAAGTGACATGTCGACTGTCAGCGATCGGTCCGGGCCTGTCACACCATCACATCCATCACATTCACGAGGTCTGATGGCTATGCTTATCATGTGAAGCTTTTCCGTGTCGGCAATTGGCAACCCCCTCTTTTTCCCTGGTGCAAAAACCGCTGCCGCCAGCCAAAAATTTCCACAATCAGGAATTGCACCTGTTTTCGGGGAGCGTCTGAACGCTGACAGAGATTCGCCGATGAGATTCGGATTATGGAAGTGCAGAAAGCAAGCCTTACCGAATATGCCATTTGCAATTCACCACCTTTGCAGGACCCTGGCGACGGGATCGCCGAACCCAGGCTGATGGATTGTTATGATAGGCTGTCAGACAGTTGGAGAGCCTAAATTCTGCAGGGAGTCCAGCAAGGGACAGCCAAATCTAACCTATGAGAGATGTTCAGCGCACGGACCACCAAACGCCCAGCCAATACTCTGGAGAGTTGGACAAACACTGGATCAGGTATAGCTCATTGAAGAATGCCACACTTTAGGTAAGCCAATGCGGCTGGCTTGAGTGAACTTGGGATTCATCGACGAATACCTGGCGAGCCACTTCCATTACTCAGTGGCTAGAACCTGGACGGGCCGCTTTGCCTTGCGGCCATGAGACTCCAGGACGTCTCACCAGAAGGAACTCACCTCACAGGCCGCCTTTCTCCACCCGCGAACAAAATGGGAAGCAGCACTATCGCTGTCTTCGCAGATCTGGTAATTCACTCTGGCAAGGCTGCGCGATGATCAGACTTGAGACTCCTCAATGCTCCCGCCAGGGAAAGATGAACTCATGGAACTCAGCTGGGCAAGCATGGCACTCTTGCTATATAGACGCCGTTGGAGGATGGAGTGTCGTGAATCAATTCGAGCTGTTACGCTGCACTTGCGTTGACCATATCACTATCAGTTCGCGAGCCCCAAGTCTTGTCATTCCGGACGAGATGAAGAACAGAAACCCATCCTGGGGATCCGTCAGGTCCAAATTGACGCAGGAGGGGTACATGTACAGGATGAAGCTCGGAAATCCGGCGGCAAGTGCCAGCAGCCAGTCTGCGCACCGCCGCCACTCTTCATCAGCTTCGTCGTCGTCGGCTCATGCACAGCCTTCTCATCCCGCGGAGTCGATGCCACCCAGGTCTGCTGCAAACGAGACAGTCACAGACGGGGGCAGTGCTGCCTTCCAAACTGTCGTCGATCTCCTGGAACATTGGAACCTTGGTGACAGCCTCAGGATGGACCACGAGCTGGACCCAAATGCGACATTCGAATTCTGTGAGCCGTCTCTCTCCGATTGACTCTGTCCCAGCTAATTCTCGTCTGCCAGTGTTTCAGTGTTATGCTCCTTTTGCTATCCACCGCCGACACAGAACAATCCTCTTTGAGCCGGGCGACTTCCTCGATGGAGTCATGTTCCAAGATCGTATGGTCGCAAACGCTGTGCTCGTTTGGGCGGCAGACATGCGAGAGCGATTTGGACCGGGAACGCAGAGTACAAGCGACATGCTTTTATCACAGCGAAACGATGTTATCCGAGAGCTCCGCGAAAGAATCTCTTCGACGGAGACATGTGCCTCTGATGCTGTTATGATGACAATTCTTCTGCTGGTTGGGACTGAGGTAATACATCCCTAGTTATGGTCAAGCTCTTCTAATGACACTTTCAGCTTCTCCACGACAACATCGATGCGATGGGGACTCATCTTGGGGCCTTACGGCACATCATCCAACTTCGGGGCGGAATGGACAGCCCATCGTTGAGCAGATGGGTAAAGATTCCACTTCTCCAGTAAGAGTTCACTGTCCAGGGTGTCCCAGTTATGCCATTGCTGATCAATCCCAGGTTCGAAAACTTCTTGAACTACCGACATTTTGACCATGTTAAGAGATCCAGCTTCGAGGATGCGTCGCAGGTAGCGGAAGCATCTCACCACCAACCTCTGCCGGTATCCCGTGCTCGGCTGGACAAGTTACCCCCGGGGTTCTCAGAACTGTTCTGCAGCAGTCCTATCAAGATGCCGCTCCTGAATCTCGTGGAAAGAATGTCCCTATGGACTCTGCAAGTTGCCGACCTTCCCGAGGCAGGAGGAAATGGGGACCAGACCGCAGCAGTGGTGCATGCAATGACGTTGGATGCATTTCGGGCATTTGACCTGCTTCAACAGGACCAGCTCGAGGAGAAGGAGCGGTTGCTGGTGATTGGCCTGTTTTCCTTTTGCATCTTCATGAACGGGGAGGCGATCTACTCGGTGATGGAATGGGCTCAACGACTTCACTGTATGACCCTAGTTGGCAAGCCTATTGCCCCAATCGGGAATGAATGTCGCCCGAGCATGATCTGGGTCGCGGCCATGTTGATGGCGACGGGAGGAGAGGGTTCTCCAGCATGGCAGTTGGGAGGGCAAATCATGAGCGCGTGCAGTGGTGCGAGTGCTGGCTTACAGGCCATACTCCAAACAAGTCAGCGATATTTTTGGGATCAACAACTGACCATGAGACTGACTGGCGGCACGGTTGGAAGCATGCATGGCAATCTCTTCGGAGATGGGGTATGATTCGGGTAAGTGGATGCAATCTCTGGCATTGAACCGAACCTAGAGTAGGACTGCGGCTTCTTGGGACAGCGGGAAGGAGGGGTTGTATAATTCATTATCTATTCGTTATGCCTTGATAGTGTACTGAGTAGCTCTTGTTGGAATCATTGTCACATAATCAGTCTGCGATCCATCCGCGCGCACACGTCACCAGAGGGCAAATTTCCGCCTCAACATCCAGCAAACCTCGTTCATCAGGTGGGCAGGAAGCAATGAAATCAGGGGCTAGCATGGCGTCTTGTTCGCAGATGGATTCTTTCTTTTCTAAAAGGTAGATGAAGTGGAAATGGGGTTTGGATTACCGATTGGCTCATCCAGCAAGCCCAGTAGAGGGTAGAGGGCTAAATATATATCTTTTCCCCGGAAAGAGGCCGCGCGAGGTGGACGGTTTCCCAGGTGAGAAAAGTGACGCCAGCACCCGGGGGGAATTTCGGTCTTTTCCGTCTCGTTCGAGCTGCGCTGGTGGCGAACCTGTGGTGAGAAGACCAGAAGTGGTGTTGTTGATGACAGGTTGTCGGCACCTAATGGTCAGTGTGTTGTTGGCTGAGAAGAGACGTGCGCTGAGTGACAGCCTCGCATGGCCTATTTTGGCACATGGCGAGGCTGTGGCAAACATGCATGGGGCAGGTGAAGCGGCACGAGCGGTTAGTCATCCTTCGAGGCGACTAATACCATCACTAGCTACTATAGGTGCCTTGGGTATCCATGACGCCCCCGAGCGCCCACAGCACCTGCTGCTAGCCATCCACTAAGCTGTTTAGTAGGCGGCATAACTCGCCCAGCAGCACTAACTACTGGGATGTTCCATTACCTGCATCCCCCAAGTCTCCCCTTTGCTTGCTGGTTGCGTGTCAGCCTCTATCCGCATTGCAAAAAATCCCAAGCTAGGGCGCTTCCCTCTAGTCTCCACGAATCCACCCTTCTCTCTTCCTCTCCCTCTTTCAGTCTCTTCCTTTTTGACGGCACCAGACACCAGACGGCTTCAGAGCTAGTTACCAGCCAGCTGCGCTAAAATCTATTTTCGACTTCTACCCTTTCCAAACACTAGCTTTTTGGTTCGGGATGTTGCCTAGGTACGTCGTACGCCATCATTCTGTGGATCAAATGTGATAATGGCTTTTTTTTTCTTTTGCTCTTCTCAACCGGCTAGTCTGCGATGGGGGTCCCAGAAGGATTCAGGAGCTCAGGGTGGTGACGAGGATGGTGGTGTTGGTGAATGTGATGGTGCCGGTCTGATACGGGAGATGCGGTTCGTGTTTCCAATGCGTTTCGGCCTCTCCACCAAGACTCAACCGGGCCAAACAGGCGCTTGCTCTGGTCCAATCTACCCCCTTGGACCTCGTTACGATCGCTAACCGTCTTGGGCCAGAAACTACGGAAACTCGACGCGGTCCAGCTGCCCAGAATCCTTCCACCTTCCCTTTGCCTGTTTCCCTCGTCCACCAGGCCGTTAACCAACCAAGAGATTTCAAACGTGAAGAGTCTGGAGTCGTCAGGGTACGAGGAGGTTGCGCGTCGTCAATATTCCTGTCTATGATCCCCACTCTGTCTACTGGATATCTGCCATTCGCCGCGCAGGAACCCGAGTGAGGTTGCTCAAACACTCCCTGTTTGGCTAATTTTGGTCAATTCGTATCTGATCCCTGTGCCGGTACCTCCCTGGCCGCACTCTGTTGCGGGATATAAAGAGCTGAGAAACTTCCCGTTGTAAAAAGAGGCTCTTCCTTCACCTCTCTAACGTCCACCCCCAACGAATACAAAACCCGACCAAACGTTCAATCTTCTTTACAATTGTAATTCTCCTATTCTCATAGCAGAGCTATCAACCCTATCGTCCCGTGACAAGACAGTTCATCTCACATCTACACTTCACATACAAAATGCAGTCCCTACTTTCTTCAACCACCCTCCTGTTCGGTGTGCTGGCCACATCAGTCCTCGCCAACCCTCAATACGACTACGGCGGTTCTTCTGGTTCTTCGACTTCTGCTTCCGCAGGCAGTAGTGCGACTGCCGCCGCGGCCCAGGCCTCATCATCCAACATCCACTCTGTCACAGTTGGACCCGGCCTCACCTTCACTCCAGACACCGTTACCGCTGCAAAGGGCGACTGGGTTGAATTCACCTTCGGCGAGGGTCACAGTGTTGCACAGAGCTCATTTGATGCACCCTGCGTACCAATCAGTGGTGGCGCTGGTGTGTACTCCGGATTCCCCAACGATGGGGATGTGTGGCGGATCCAGGTCAACAGCACGGACCCTCTGTGGCTGTACTGCTCGGCGACTGGCCACTGTGAGGGCGGTATGGCTCTGGTCGTCAACCCACCGTAAGTCCCATTGCTCCACTCACGCAACAAACACATATGCTAACCACTCTATAGATCGAGCGGCAACACTCTCGATGCATACAAATCTGCTGCACAAAACGCCCAGGGTTCTTCACCGGAGACCGTTCAAGGTGGCATCTTCGGTGCCGCGGTCGCTAGCTCTTCGGGCTCCAGCAGCACTCCTTCAGCTTCGGCAACCACAAGCGGTTCCAGCGCCAGCGCTTCTCCTTCTGGCAACGCCGCTGGCGCCAACATGGTCTCGAACGGACTGATGGTTCTTGGGGCAGTTGCTGCCGGTGCTGCCGCTATTCTGTAAATAGCCTTCGCGCATGAAGCGGGGTGTTTCGTGGGGATCTGGGTTTAGGGGGGCATGCAATATATTTATTTTCCTCTGAAGTATCCCTGATAGAATGGCCAAAAAAAAAGATGCCGAGCATTTTGACAGCCTGCCTCGTTTTCGCTTGTCTCTTTCTCTTTCAGATTTTATTCCCTGCATCCCATTATCCGCAAGGAAACTTTTGGAGTCTCCGAGCAATGCGGGTACCGAATGTTAAAAAAGTGCCCATCGAGTCCCCTATATGTATCTGCTTTAGTTTGAACCCAATCTTGTCCTTGGTTATTGCGTCTCTTACGACTCGGGGGCCGAGATACTCTTATGTCCCCAGCCGCCCCCCAACCAATCGAGGGGGACAAATGACGAGACGTTTTGTTTGTTTTGCAGCCTCTTTATTTCCGAATGCCCTTCCAAGGTCTTTCTTTTCTCCCCCGGTCCTTCTCCCACCACCACCACCAACACCCCCGAGAATGTTGCGGCTGACCTCGGTAAGCCGACCCCGCCCTTTGCATATTTCGGCTATGCCCACCTAGGAGGCATACCTGAATAGGAGAAGGTCACTCACTGGCATGTCACATCAAGGGTCAGAGAGACCCGAGGAACAACAACCGATCTGTTACTTGCGGCGGTGATACCGGACGAACGACGGCGGCTGGCTTGGACATGAGACGGCGTCTGGTAGTGGTCTGATAGGCTGCGATCTCTGCACAGCAGAAAGCCGAGACGGCGGACGTGTTTGATGCAAGCGATGTCCAGGGACGAGGGTTAGAGGGGAGGGGAACTCTTTTAGAGACAAGACAAGAGGATACAAGAGTGACGGGTGGCGGAGGAGGCACGTAGCGTAACACGGTATATATAGATGGTGTGCTCTCGATCTTTGGGGAAGAAAAGGTCGAGGAACTCTGTCTATATCCTATACTAGACTGTACCTTTCCGAAAGCCTGCCTTGTCCTATTCTTTTGTTTCTCTGACTTACTGTTACGGGGAAAATACAAAGATGCCGCTCATCAATGAAGCACCGTACTCCCCGGATGACATCCCCGATCACCCACAATGCGCGCCGCAGCCGTTGAAGATCATCCACGTCGGCGCGGGTGCCTCTGGTCTGTTGTTCGCGCACAAGGCGGAGAGGTTGCTGAAGAACTACGACTTGACCTGTTACGAGAAGAACGATTCCATTGGAGGCACGTGGTATGAGAACAGGTCAGTTTCCTGGTCAATTGGTCCATTCACGCAAAGCCAGCCCCCCCTGACAACCCGTATTGATAGATACCCTGGCTGTGCGTGCGACATCCCTGCGCACACGTACACGTTCCCCTTTGAGCCGAACACCGAGTGGAGCGGCTACTACAGCGGAAGTGACGAGATCCAGGAGTATTTCGTGCGGTTTGCGAAAAAGTACGGCGTCGAGAAGTACGTCCAGCTCAACACCGAAGTCGTCGCCGCCACGTGGGACGAGACCAACTCGAACTGGACCGTCGATCTGAAGCGCAAGGACGGCAGCACCTTCACAGACACCTGCGACGTCCTCATCAACGGTGCCGGCGTGGTCAACAGGTGGAAGTGGCCGACCATCGAGGGGCTGCATGACTTCAAGGGCCTGTTGTTGCATTCGGCCGCGTGGGACAGAAGTATTGACTGGGCGGGCAAAACCGTCGCCGTCATTGGCACAGGCTCGAGCTCGATCCAGATGGTGCCCAAGCTGGCCGAGACGGCGACGCATCTGTCTTCATACGCAATCAGACGTACATCGCCACGCCGTTTCTGTCCACGTCCAACAAGGAAGCCGACCCTGACGCCGCGGACCCCGGCACCGCAGGCAAGCACTTGTACACGGAGAAGGAAAAGCAAAAGTTCCGAGACGACCCGGACTACCATCTCAAGTACCGCGAGGACGTGGAGCGGTCGGTGGCCAGCATCTTCCGCATGTACCTGCGCGGGACCGAGCAGAACCTCGCTGCGAAGAAGTTGCTGCAGGAAGACATGGCGAGGAAACTCGGCGACCGCGAGGACCTCAAGCAGAAGTTCATCCCTGCGTGGAGCCCCGGCTGTCGTCGACTGACGCCCGGAGAGGGCTACCTCGAGGCACTGGTGCGCGACAACGTCACCTGCGTCTTCGAGGACATTGTCAAGGTCACCCCTGAGGGCGTTGTTACTAGTGACGGCAGGGAGCACAAGGTCGATATTTTGGTGTGTGCCACGGGGTTTTTTGTCCAGTATCAACCGCACTTCCGCATCACAGGCCTCAGTGGCCAGGTCATGCAAGACCAGAAGCAACCCAACGTGTACGCCTCGATCGCCGCCCCCGGCTTTCCCAACTACTTTGTGGTCAACGGGCCCCGAGGCAACTGGGGACAGGGCTGCGCATTCCCCAGCCACGAGGTGCAGGCCGAGTATATCCTCCAGTGCTGTCAGAAGTTGCAAGAGGATGGAATCCGCTGGATGGCGCCCAAGCAGGACCTCACGACCCAATTGAACCTGTACATGGACGCATGGCACAAGAAGTATAGCGTGTGGGCCGAGGACTGCAAGAGTTGGTACAAGGTGAGTGCGATCCCTTTCTTTCTTTTTCCCGTTTCACATAGCACAGCTGCCCTCCTTTGTTGTGGCGATGCTAACTTGACATACTCAACCAGGACAACAAACCCGACGGCCGCGTGTACATCTGGCCAGGCAGTCTGCACCACCACCTCAAGTTCCTGAAGCGCCCGCATTACGAGCATTACGACCTGCAGTACAAGGACCCGGGCAACGTCTTTGCCTTCCTGGGTAATGGGCTCACCATCACAGAGACAAAGTACGGACCCAAGGACATGCCGGTCCCGTACATCAGAAACAGCGAGAACGTCGAGTGGGATATCGAGTAGTGGCAGCCTAGCTTGGAACGGGCATATTTCGGCCAGAGCAGGCTGTTCAGTAATCTCTGGAGAAGGGGTCGTGCCTCCAAGGAGTAGTATGCGTCTGGCATTCTTACCGAGTGTTGTGGAAGAAAGAACGGACGGACGGACGAACAACAATGCATGCGGATAAGCGGACGAATGTGTCCTGCCTGTCAATCTCACTGTTGCGTTGCTGAATAAAGATAGAGCTCGAAGATGAATCAGTGCTAGAGAATTGAGCTAGATCCCCTGAGACTCGTCAAGGGATGAAAATTGAATAAGCAATGAGTGATATCCCCTTCTGGAAATGGGCATCTACGGAGTATGGAGTGTGGGTCATGGTAATACCAACGAGGCTGAGTTTCCTCTTTCCCCTGGAGGAGGACAGGGGTAATTACACTCGTGCAGCGGCAAGGCTGTAAAGCAAGGCTGTAAGGCTATGAAATTGTCCATGCCAAGCCCGCATCTTGGAGGGAAATCCAGACAAGGGAAATTTCCCCACATGCAATGGCACCGCGCTCGATACGCTCACCTACGACACATTCACGCAAAATTGACACTTACCGCTAGATTTGGGAAAAGAATTTCAGTTGCGTTTCGCATCACAAAATCGCGGGAGACAAATCGAAAAGCTGCAGGACAGCCTGGCTGAGACTTTGCGATCCGAGAGCCGGCCTCTGCACATTGTGAACGAACCACGAAACCGAACACACTCTCGCACTGACGAGCGCAACCACCCTCACGACGAGACGACGTCTACGTTCATACCCGGCACATGTGGGATAGAGTTTGAAAGAACGAGGAAAGACGAGGACAGGTGAAAGGGAAACAAACGTCTATACACACAAGACACACGACACATCCCCTCCCTCACAGACATGTCGCACGCACGAGTGGAAGAACTGTCCGACTCGGATCCTGATATTGACGACCCTTCTGAGTTTCTGCCTCAATCGGACCAGCACATAATCCGGCCGGCAAGCCAGACGACGGCATCATCACTCGCCTCGATATCAACTCCTCCCTCGTCCACCTCAGGAACGAACCCAACCCTGTTCCGCCCCGCGCCTGGATCAGCATCCACGGCCGGACCACCCCCTCAAATCCGACAACAGTCGCGGGAAGAGATCAAGCGGTTCCAGTCTCTGTACCCGGTATACTTTGACAGCACGCGGACGAAGAAGCAAGGACGCCGCGTGTCTGCGCAGCTAGCGATCCCAAACCCGCTGGCGTGGCAGGTGCTGTGCGCGGTGCGGTTCGCGGTCGGGGAGAACGTGTTCAAGATGGCGTTTGAGCCCGAGAAGACGCACCCCAAGGACTGGGCCAACCCGGGCCGGGTCAAGCTCCTCCTCAAGGACCCGGAGACGCACGCGCCCCTCAACCGCACCATCCGCAGCAAGGCGCACCTCTATACCATCATCGGGCGCTGGCTCAAGGACCACCCCACCACCAAGGAGTCGCCGCTCGAGCTGCGCCTGCCCGGTCTCCCCGTGCCGGAGAATTTTCTGGAGTACGAGGTCGCCGTCCCCCGCGGCTGGAAGATGGGCACCATCCTCCCCGTGCATTCCTCGGCCGTGAGTGGCGGTGGTGTTAGAGACGACTTCTTCAAGGAGGCCATGGAGGAGCTCAGGCAGGCCCAGAGTCAGGGCCAATTGCCCGCGGGTGGTCCCGGCGGAGCTGGTGGCGGCATGCCAGATATGAGTGCGCTTCAGAGCATGATGAACGGCATGGGCGGGATGGGAGGTCTTGGTGGATTGATGGGCGGCGGTGGCGGCGGAGGAGGAGGAGGTGGAGATTCGAGTATCAAGAGAAAGAAAGACAAGAAAAAGAGTTGATGAGTTGATGTTCTGAAGCGGTGTGCCACAAACCGTGTGCAGAGTGTAGGCGTGAGTTTTGAGTGTGATGGCAGAGCTGCTGAACGGCAATCATATCATACCCATATCAATGGCTACAAAAGAGCAATCTATCTGCCTTGCCTGGCCTGGCCGTGCCTTGAACTCAAGAAGTCCCTCTTTTTTCCCCTATAGTGAGTGAGCGCGATGATCGAGTGGCCCGGGCAGCTCTCTGCTCTCTTGAGAATCCTATCTTTTCAGATCCTCCAGTTGCAATTCAGCCCTTGCTCCACGTAACTTCTGAAGAGAAAATCGCATGTCTCTCCCTCTTCTCACGACACCTAATCTAGGTACAGACGTGACATCAATACCCTTCCAGCAGGAAGGCAGAGCAGGCAGGCCATCCGACCGCTCTACCCGCGTCTTTGTCGTTGGCCGGGTCTTTCTCCGTGTTTGCTGTGATCCTCTTCGATCGCCATCTTCATCATCACCTTCATCATCACCACTATCGTGATCCTCAAATCCAGCTGCCTCGGCGCTTCGTTTCAGTCCCTGAGAATCTCTGGGTCGTGGTAGATCTTGATCATGTGCATAGCCTTCGTCGGATCCTTCGCCTTCACCTTCATGGGTGGGTTGTTTGCTCTTGCGGCACGTTGCAGGATGGCTTGTTGATTGTGCACCGTTTAGTGCGTCGGAGGTCTCTTTCTCTCCTCCTTCTCCCTCTTCTCCGTTGTAAGCCCCTGCTCACAGGTCTTCAATTCAGACATAGCCCTCCTTGTCGTCACTGTTGTTCATGTCTTCGGTGCGGTGGTCGTCATTTTCATCGTGATTGTCATTGTCCTGGTCACGGTCGACGCTTTGGTCATCGAGATAGTCACTATCTCGTTCATGGTCGTCGTCCCTATCATCATCTTCATTGATGTTTTGGTTACTGTCTTGCTCACGGTCGACGCTTTGGTCATCGAGATCGTCACTATCTCGTTCATGGTCGTCGCCCCCATCATCACCACTGCCATCGCGTTGATCGTCGTCATTCGAATCGAGCCCCGCACATTCCACGGCGTTGAAGTCGGGACACGCTCGGCGCTCTGCCCTGCTCTTGTGCGTGTGCCACTTTGCACACAGGCGATCGCGTGGATGGAACGGGAAGAACCTATCCCGGAACCCCTTCAAGTCTTCGATCGCGTGCAGGAACTCGGCGAGGAGACGAGGGCTGGCTTCCATGAGCCCAGAGTAGACCGACCAGCTCTCGAGGACCTCCAGAAGAACCATGTCCGTCTCGACGACCTGAAAGGCCAGGCTGTCGAGCAGGGCGCCGACGAGTGAGGTGCGGGAGAGGCCGGCTCGGGAGAAATTGTCGGCGATCCCAAAGTGTGCTACAAGGCATGTGTTGGACATGACGACCGCAGTGGTGGTCAGGTAGTTCTTGAAGGGCTGTGCCTCGAATCGGTCGGCGACATCCCAACACCGGACAAACAAGTCTGGTTTCTGGCCGAACTTGCACTGAATCACGTTGTCAAAGCCCTCGTACAGTTGAGTGTCTGCGGTGCTGTACAGGCCCAGCCACAACCCAAAGACCACAGCGGCCTGGCAATCCTGCTCTCGGAAGCGGCAGCAGAGCGAGCCGGGCGAGGGTGGGGGTGTTGACGAACGGCGGGACCTGGAACGACGTCCGCTCCTTTCAAAGAGAGGTGATGCGTCCCGTAGCGCCGCGGGCAATATGTAGATGTTGAACCAAGTTTCAGAGCTGTCGGAACCTATCAAGAAGGCAACTTTGTTCAGGCTGCGTTGTGATTCCACCGTCAGAAAACTCGACTGCACATCATATGGATGGGGCACGCATGCTGGGTCTTCATCATTGACTAGGACTAACCTCTCCATGTACATGGCTCGCACGTACTCCGAGACTTCAGGGAGCGGGGACCCGGGTAGAGAGTCCAGAAGACTATGGGCAGATGAGTCGGGCAAAAGGGCAAGGGACGAGGTTGAGCTAGCGTTCGAGCCGTGCACAGAAGCCATGGTCCAGGTTGAGACAGCGGGTGGTGTGAGGATCACCGTGGCGATGACTGAAGCGTACGCTTCGGTGTGAATGTTATTGTTGAGTGGTTTGGACAACGACAACAGAGGGCGATGGACATGGGAGACGACAAAGGAGACAAATTCGTGAAGCTGAAGTCGACCGTGGGTTCAAATATCAGATTTCGTCGTTGGATTCCCCTCAAAGGGTTAGATAGTGTCACCCTGACGCTGTCTTGGCTGGATTCTCGGCGGAGCGTCGATGATGTCGTTGATTTCAGCACAGGTAAGAGGGTGAAGGAGAGAATCAGGAGGGAATGAGGCTGTCGAGGGCCAGTCTCTCCTATCCACAGCTTGCTTTCCACCTCATCTGGTTCAGAGTCGTCTCTCACTCTCCCTCTTCCCTCTCATCCATCACTCACCAACCGCCACATAGCAGTCTCCTGCTTCAGAGTGATACCAGGATAGGTTTGCTTGTCTGTGAACTTCATGAGATACGAGGATGACTTCAAGAGGAAGTTCCTCAGGCTGTCCCCTCCATCCCCCATTTCATACCGTCTATCCCATCCAGACTTAGGGGGCCCAACATCGTCAAATCGACCGACCCAACTTTTACGAGGACAACAGACCCATCATGGCTGTATGCGTCAAAAATCTGGGCACGCGTGGGGGGGCGACGCCGAAGCTGAAGACCGGTCATCTGTCATCTGTCACATGTCACTCTGATGTCCGGGGTACTGTCGCCAGGCGCTCTGGTTCCGGAGTGAATGGCACTTCCATCCCACCCCGCTGGCTGGCAGTCTTGAGTACATGATAGAATTTGTTCTTTGTCGCCTACCTTGTGCGCAGGTTGTTCATGTTTTTTACGATTGTGTCGACTACACGTGCGCGTTACTGTAGCTTAGTTTAAGGAGAGGTTGTGCAGGAGCCAGTAAGAAAGAGGTCACTTAGGCACTTAGGCACTCAGGCACTTGGGGTTATCTACGGCTGAATCTCGGGTCAACAAGCGCGGCAAGACAACAAAAGCAAGTTGATCCGAAGAAGAGAAGCCATCTCAGTCTTCAGGGTCACAAAGATAAAAAAAAAACCCCCCTAAAGGGAGAAAGAATAAGCAAGATGGTGATGTCAATATGCTGTCTAGAGAGTGAAGCTCTTTTCTATGTATCTTTTCCAGCGTAGTTGGAACAGACGATATTGAGCAATGCTACCTCGGTGTCCTAGAGCCCCAGCCTCATTGTCCGCTGTTGTGTGCTGTCCAGAATACCAGCATCTCTCATCAAGAAAAGAGCTACGCCCGCAGAACCCATGCACCAAACCGACTCTGACCGTCCAGCACCGTGACACCGCCACGCAAGATCCCGCCTGGCATATCATAGCAAGAAGAAGCTGTCAGAGGATCTGCTTGCTCGTCTGCTCAATGTGCCGCCGAATGTCCTTCAAACTTTGAAGCATCAACCTGCAGTGGTTTGAGTGGTCAAGTATGTCGGTGTATTATCAGGCCACAACGCTAAAACAGTCCTTCGCGAGGCCCCAAAAATGTGCTGAGCGATGAGCCATGCCCGTTCTTGAGACCGTTGTATGCAGCCAAGGGTTTCCACCCCGGCGTGGTATTTCGTGGACATTTGGCCTTTGTGTCGTCGCTCACATGTTCGTGCCACTTGCAGTCCCTCTGTGCCATCGGGGCCACAAGGTGGTGGTGATGATTCTCTTCGTTCAGCTTGTCTACCCTCAACAACAGTTGATTCAGCAACCCGGTGTTGGCCGTCTCGCTGACGAAGTCGCGCCAGGTACTCCCTTCGCTGTCACGGTCTGACCCGGTGAACTCGGCCCAGCCCCCGACGACGATCTTGTATGCCAGACAATCGAGGACGTAGTCCTGCAAGACCCCGAGGTCGGAGGAATACTCTGCGTCCAAAGTGCACAAGGACTTCAGATCCCAGTGGCTCATGGGAACGTCCTGCATCGAATCCATGATTGTGTTGCGGAGCTTCTCGGAGCCGACCAGGTCTGCGAACTTGAAGTAGCGCTGCACATCCTTGAAGGCCAGAGGCTGGGGGTGGTTGCCGGATTTGGTCAGGCCGCCTTGGTAGATCAGGTCGAGCCAGTCGGCGAGGACGTCGTGGTCGCTGGTGGGGAGACGGACCGTGGTGCGATCAGGAGAGGAATCGAGGATGATGGCAAAGTACTTTGAGTTCTCCAACAAGAGCGACTTGCTGACGTGGAAGACATTGAGTGGGACGTCTGCGTCTTCCTCACCAAAGATCTCGTCTTCGCCTGCAATCACCTTGATGACGGGGGCGCGAGCGTGGCTGCTAGGAGGTCAGTTCGCGTTTCAAATGCTGAGAAGGTCTTGCCTGCTGCTCACCTTGAAGTCATTGCTGGTGGTGCCGCCATGTTTCTAACGGACTGAGGCGGTTGTTTGGAAGAGGCTGCGGAGGACTTTTCTGATGTGCCTGTGCTTGAAAGGTGCGGATGAAAGAGAAATAAGAAGAGTGATCAGACGAAATGGTGAGGAAGATAGTAATAAGTTCAGATTCAACATCAAGTGAAGTGAATAAAACAACTGCTTGCCTGCAGCTTGGCGATGCTATGTGCAAGAAGACAAAGGTGAATTGCGAGACAAGTTACTGTGAAAGAGGGAAGACTTTGTTCTATTGGCAGAAGTCCATGTTTGCCCGTGAAGCAAAGGCGGATAATGAAGTGGTGACAAGCTGCGCGTCTCATCTCACACCAAAGTTCGGCTGTGGATTGTAACTTGATTGATTCCGTCTCTCTATCAGCAACACCAAATAGAGCTCAACTTTATGGTTCGGCCTGGATTGTTGCTTCTCCTCCATCAAGCAGTCCTTGCATATTCTGTCCCCCAATTCCGAGAGAGAAGAGAAAGAGTATCGAGATGTGTCTATCTGCCTTGTTATTTTGGTCCTCCTCAGGTCAACACGCAGAGGGGTGTTGTCCATCCCCATCTCACAGCAGCCCACCCAGCACAGTCTTGGTGATGGCCTCATTGAGGAGACACACGCATATTAAAGCTGTTGTACAGTGTCGGCTTCCCATTTTCTCTTCTTCGACACGGGGTTGGGTATTGGTATATGCGGAGTCGACTCCATGGGAGCTACGTACACCGGAAGCGTTTGACTGCGATGCTGAGACTGGGGCGACGGATGGTGGAAGACCGCCCCTCCGTGCCCTTCAAGCTGTATTGCTGGCGAGCTTTGCGTGCCATTCTGACGCATCTGATCCAGCCGCGCCATGAGGAAGGAAATGAATTTCCCCTTCGTTCCGGCCCCGTTGTCCTTGTGGCTCATGAAATCCTCCCAGCCACCCCTAGTTCTTTCAATGAAACTTACCCAACCATTGCTGGCAATCTTGGTAGCAAGACCTGATAGTATGTAATCGCGGAGAGCGCATTTCGAGATGACATCGCCATCGAGAAATTTGGCGATGGACAGATAGTCAGACTCCTGCAAATGGACCCTACCCTCCTTCATGATGTATGACTTGAAGGTCTCTGATTGGAGCTGAGAGGCTAAAGTCCAGATGTTCATGAATCTATCTCCGAGTGTGTGCTCGTCTATACATCCTTTGTAGAGCCACGTCACAAAGACATCGAAATCAGTCACATCGACATCGCGGTCGAGATCAAGTGGGATGATTTGAGTGAACCGTGTCTTCTTCAACATCGTTTCAAAAAATTTCGATCCATCCTCGAGGAGTGCCGTATGGATGTAATGCGGGCCTGACTTGCGGGAGCCTTGGTGCGCAACCACAGCAACAGTGGGAGACTTGGTAAACCTATCACGCAAATCAGCCGTGACTGATAACAGGCTCGCTTCAGAGATAAGCACACCGGACGGAACGAGGAGCATCTAATGCCATGGCTGAACTCATTCTGGAGACTATGTGGTAATGAGATATTGCAAATCGGAGTCGGTATTGGACGAGTACTGAGAGAGATCAAGGGTGCGTCCCTGATCAATAGACCCTGATAAGATGAGAACGATGCAGGCTGTCTCGGTCAACTAGTACAACTGAGATCAACAAAACCTCAGACCATTCAGGCCTTTTGAATGGAGCTTGAGTGATTCTCGAAAAGTGAATGAAAAAGGTATAATTTTGTTTGTGACGGCTTTTTGAAGTATTCACCAAGTCCTGATTCTTTGCCGTCTAATGTGCAAGTCTGGTCAGGTTTATTTTCAATCCTTAACGAACGGCTAACCTCCCTGGACTGGCCTGATCACAGAACCGTCACGCATAAAGACTCGATCGATTTTTGGAAGGCTGAGTTGTTCATGATATCCAGACACAATCATACATCGGCATGTGAAGAATACTAAAGAGCGGTCGTCCCTCGACCACATAGAGAATGAGATGCGTCGTCTCCATCTGTAGGATCCTTGGTCTCCCATTGTGGAAGTGCTGGCTCGAGTTCAGTGGCAACGTCGTCACCGCAAAGAGACAAGCGATAGTCACTCTGCGCTTTTTCCAGTCCCAAGGCGCTGGTCCGTGTCTTTGTCTTCTGAACCAGATGTTCTTCGAACCGAACAATGCGACATTTCTCGGCGAGTGACAATGCCTCATTAACATGACTGCTGTCTTCGTCGCAGGAGACGCAACTCCAGCCACGGTACCAGGACAGCATGCACGCGAGGACGGCAGGCTTGATATCCCCAAAATCGAAGTGTCGGCTCCTCGCTTCTGGGTAATCCTCATGCAGCCGGTCTGCAAAGTACGTGGATTCACGGCAGAGTCGTGGCCCGTCGAATGCAAAGTACTGCTGGTGGCTCCCTTTGCCGGCTGTAAATGTAATCACGTTCGAATAGTCGAAGAGATTCTTGTGAGGCTCGTGGGTGGTCTGGTTGTCCGTGCGCTCCATCAGGGTTATGGAACTGGTAGTATGAGAAGTCGTGCACGAGTTCCAATCCCTTAGCATGCGGGACGAAGGTAAATTTATATTGGTGACGGTGGACAGGCTGTCCAGTAATGTAGAGGCGTTTCAGGACTCGAGATACTCACTCCATTCTGTCGCATCCTCCATCAAATCCGTGAATCCAGAGTATTGCCCAAATACGGAATCCCAACGCTCCCAGTCAAAGCCCATGTTCATCTCCGTGTCACCCTGGTGTAACTCGGTATAGACGAAGCTCTGGTCCCTGTGTGACTCTTCATCATGGTGATCAAGCGGTCCGGTGCTATAGCCAATCACGTTATTGTTTCCGTAAGATGCTTCCATGGTTTGCTGCTTAGATAACTGAGCATTGAACAATTTCTGCTCTGTATCCGTCACATCTTTGGCGGGCACCTCCCCCCAGTTATGTTGAAGTGGCGCAGACTCTTGCTGTACCGTCTGTGTGCCATTCTTGGCTTCAGACCCACCTAAAAACGGCACTGCCTGTGTGGGACAAAGAGGAGGCTGCGCTTCTGCTCTGGGCGTGTGCGTGTGGAAAGGTAGGACATGAACTGGCGTAGTGTCGCTGGTTGCTGCGGTTCCAGAGCACTTCTCCATGCGTTTACTGAGTGGAAACGGCATTCTTGGCTGACCCTCCCGTCGTGCCAGTACTCGACCGCCATTTGATCCAGACTCGTTTTCAAGAGTTTGCCGCAACTGGCTCCGCATGGCTTGTGAGCAGATGGGCTCTTGCGCTTCATGGTTTTCATTAACAAGCTCTTTGTGGGCCAAATGGACCATGTATCTGACACCTTGTTCCAATGCAGGATGTTCTGCTTGTGCATCACGCGTACATGAAGGCGAGGTTTGTGGACCTGGAGTTGGGCTGTCATAAATTGAATCTTCTCGAATACTTTGAGCAATCCTTTGCGCATCCGTCAATGGTTGCGCGATGCCGAGCTCGATTTGGTCCGCCTCCGTCCAAAGAACTGTTGGATCTAGTCCTGCTCTTTGCCAGGCAGCAGAACGAAGGCCTCGTAGCATGTCCCACGCTTCAATGCCGCCCTCCCGCAACGGTCTCTGAACAGTGGCGCCATCAGGGCCACCGACGATGCCAGCGCCGGGAGCAGCTAACCCAAATACCTTGTCGATCAATTCTCTTGATCTGGGTGCCTCAACGCTGGTCGGCCTCTCGTACAGATCAACGAGAACTATCAAGACCGCATGAAGGGGGCCGTAAGTCGCCGGCCAGGCCCATCGAAAAGGCTCCAAGTCTGGATCGGCTGCGAGTGACACAAATTTTCTGAGGAAACTGTGGCAATTGTGCAGGGCGCATTGTCGACCCATACCCCACAGCTTACTTCTCGTGTTCTTCAGGAATGGGGCATATGCAACACAATGCACCTTGTCAATCAGCATAGATAGGCTAATTCGGGCCCATTTGTTGTAGGCAGCTTGCTTTGCGCGATAGTAAGCGGCCAATGGCCACGAGGGGTCAGTGTTGTTGACAGTAGTCTTGTAATATGCAATGTCATTTGCAGTGATAGGGTCGCCCATGGACACATCGGTATCTGATGGGCGTTGCTGCGCATCTCTAAGCGAATCCGGAACGAATCCCATTTCTGGAACTCCTTTGCTGGGAATCGACTTGATAATAGCGTTGACTTGATCCCCTGCTTCAGTCATAATCCGTTTCATTTCTTGCATGTCTCCATTTGTGAGTCTTTTCGTTTCCAGATGTAGAGACACGACGCTTCTTATTGCGCATGCCATTATCGACTTTCCTCTTGCCACGAGGGACAGTGTGCCAAAAGCTTTTGGATTCGTACTCTCTCCATTCGAAGCCGAACTAGAGGATGGTGAAATTCTCAAAGACTTGTCCGAGTTGACGCTTGCGGACCCATCTTCAGACACATGGGCATCTCTATCTTCACAGATGATTCTCGTATCGCAGAATTTCTCAGATATCTGAGAAGGGTAGCCACTCGCGACAACGTGAGAAACATCCAACTGGATGATCTGCCACCAGAGTCGTCGTCGCATGTTTTCCTCGGTAATAGACAGCTCAAACAGAGTGGGCTCTCTGTGTAGCCCCATGGTAAATGCCAGCCTCACCGCCAGTGAGAGGTACAGGCTGCCTTGTAAAGGGTCCTCTTCAGCTATAGGCATACTTTGCAGGAGGACGAGGGCAGCAAGTTTGTACAAACTGACTTTTTGAGCAAAGCAACTGATAAGGAGGCAAAACACCACCTGATCGTGGAACCGGGTGCTAAGCTGTGCCCTTGAAGTTTGAGGAAACCATTGCCGAAGACCTTTTGTAGAAATACTTAGCGAACCCGCATACCAAATGGCATAGATCACGGCCAAGAAGTCCAAGTCTCGAAAATTGGATTCTGAAAGACCATTCGACTCGACCTGGTCCCAGAATTCTTCGTGTTTCCTGCTCATCTCCGAGGGCAAGAGAAGCCCCAAAATTGGATATACCCCTGATAGCCAACACCTGAAA